AGCAGCCGCAAGACCCAAAGCAAACTCCTGCACAGTCGGCCCCTCGCTCGACTCTCGGGCCTCCCGCCTGACGAGTCTCAGGGCCACGGGGAGAAAGGGCTGGGCCCAGCCAGGAGGGGACGCTGTGCTCTGGGTGTGTCAGCTCGTCCAAGGCGCCCTGACTGTAGTATCTAGTCCCTGGGCCTTCACGGGCACCAGGACACCCTAGTGCTGAGAGTGTATTCTGGAGCTAGGGCATCCGCAGCATGCGACTCTCGGGCCTCCCGCCTGACGAGTCTCAGGGCCACGGGGAGAAAGGGCTGGGCCCAGCCAGGAGGGGACGCTGTGCTCTGGGTGTGTCAGCTCGTCCAAGGCGCCCTGACTGTAGTATCTAGTCCCTGGGCCTTCACGGGCACCAGGACACCCTAGTGCTGAGAGTGTATTCTGGAGCTAGGGCATCCGCAGCATGCAGCTCTCTGCGGGACCCAGCCGTGGGGACATCGCACAGCCCCGCCCGCGTCTCCTACCGCTTGCGTATAGGCCCCGTAGGCGCCGAACTGGATGGTCATCGGGTTGAAGATCCCCAGCTGACCTGCCATCTGATGCATCCGCCTTAAAGTCCTTTCCTTGTCCGTGTCTGCAAACTTCACCACCAGGCTGGAGGAGGCCCCCTGGCGGGGAGGAAAAGCAGAGGTGCGATGCTGCCGCCAGGCCGCCCCGAGAGGGACCAAGAACCTGCAACACACCTGGCGGGCCCCCGCCGGCGCTCTCCTCCGAACGAGGCCACTTTGTGCCAGCTGAGGTCGGGCCCCTGACTCCGGGGTCAGAGGCCTGGATTTCCAATCGCCTGGCTCCGGAACAGCTTTCAGCTGCAGTGTCCCAGGCGCTCACTGCTGCCGTCCCAACTGGTGGGGTTTGTAATAACGGCCAAGCGCCTGTTCCCGCTGGGCTGGCTCCGCTCTGCATCGGCAGGGCCCCACCGGAGGGAGCGTTGGGTGACCCCAGACACGAGCCCAGCCCCCGGTGGCGGGTTTACTCATTCCCGTGCTAGGCCCTTGGACAAACGCTCCCCGCCCAGAGACCTGAACCGGGAGTCGGAAGCTGGCTCAGGTCACAAGCCAGCGGATGGCTGGGCAGGGAAGCAACAGGGTCGGAGTTTGAAACCACCCGTCACCCCAGTGGAGGGCAGGTTTGGGGGCTGACGCAGGGAGGGGGACTCCTCTTCCTTCTCCGCGGCGGGGTCCCCTGGCTTGCGGGAGTGACGGCCCTGGGGGATCCGCGGAGGGCAGAGCGCCTCTCCCCGCCCGCCCGACGTGCGGCAGTGCGCATCCCTGTCCAGAGCAGGATCCCAGGGCAGCCCCCGCCCCCAGTACGGGCCGATCAGTGCAACGGCGTCCTCTATGCACCCTGCTTTGCCCTGGACTCTGCCCCTTCTGCTGCCATTCCACCGTCACACCTAGGTAACTAGCAACTGTCTCCCGCCGGTGACTGAATGGCCCCCCAGCACCAGCGGACAGAGCGCAGGGCTGCTCAGGACCAAAGAGGGGCAACAAACCGCTCGATCCCTCTGATGCGGACTGAATTCAATGGGGGATCAGATTAGGTGGTGGCTGGATTAAGGAGCAAGCTCCACGCCGTGGGCGGGGGACGGGAAGATGGTGTGGCCAATGGGCGTGGCCATTTCTCTGCCTCCTGGGGTGGGGATTTCACAGGGGTGCCAAGCAAGGGCACTGAAATGCACGGGGGCTGTGCACGAGTGATGGTGAAATATTGGCGGGACCGTCGCGTTGTGCCCAATGTCGCCAGTGACCGGCGCACGGAAGGGTCCAGGGTGCGTGCAGGGGGGCGCACCCCAGCTCAGCTGATGGGAGTTCTCGGCCGACCCCCCTGTGCTACGCTAGACAGGAACCAACCCCCCGTGCACCAGGCCGCAAGGCCCAGCGGCCCCTCATGGCCATTCTGCATGGCGGGGCAGCCGGCTCAGACCCCAGTGGCCACACGGCCCCATGCTGGCAGAATCTGGCACCGCTGCTTAAAAGCGGCTGGGGGGGGGGGGCGGCCGGGGGGGCCGCGCGCGGCGGAGCCATTCCCACCGCCCCAGCCACCTGGCCCTGCAGATCCCCAGGCCCCAGGGTCTCCCAGCTGCACTCACACATGGGCCACCAGACGCTGGGGCACGTCGACTTGCCCTGAGCAATGGGAGGGAAGGGCCCAGCCCGGCACTTACCGGCATGGTCTGGCTGCCGTGCAGGCTGCTGATGGCCGCCTGGGCCTCCCCGTGAGCCATTCCCACCGCCCCAGCCACCTGGCCCTGCAGATCCCCAGGCCCCAGGGTCTCCCAGCTGCACTCACACATGGGCCACCAGACGCTGGGGCACGTCGACTTGCCCTGAGCAATGGGAGGGAAGGGCCCAGCCCGGCACTTACCGGCATGGTCTGGCTGCCGTGCAGGCTGCTGATGGCCGCCTGGGCCTCCCCGTGGCTCCCGTATTTGACAAAGGCACATCCTGGGGGAGAAAGGACAGGCCTCCAGCAAGAGGGGCCTTGCACTGCAGAGCAGAAAGGGTGCTCGTGGCGAGAGCACCGCCTGCCCGGCCCAGCTGCACCCGCCCAGGACACCCAGGAGAGGCAAGGGCTGGGCGGGCGAA